TTTGACCTATAATCAGCTTGAGTGAGCAACTTGCTTCTCCTGCTCAAAGCTGGGTGGGGGCTGTATAAAAGCCGGGCCTCCACATTAGAATCTTGTAATATAAACGTACTCTTAATAGTACGTAAAACGTACTTTTAAAAGTACGTAAACTCTTAAAATGGGTTTTACCGGTTTTTATTAATTAAATACCTTTTCCATATTACATATCAGATATTTGGACAAGGCCATTAAAGGGCTCCAGTAAAATATCAAATCTAAGATTTGGTCTAGTTCTATTAATAGAACTATATTAACCTTCCAAATCTATTTATATCTGAATACTTCGGTAGCGAGATGGCTCAACCGAACATAGGTTTCGAAGGACTATTAGCGTTGCTTAGTTTATCCTCCGTTCAGCCAACCAGATGTGTCAGTCTGATGAAGACTAAGTCGGTAATTCTTGATAAGTGTCAAGTTATTGGTTAATGCAATAACTGTGGACATCAAGGTGTAGAAGTTGGGTACTCATAATAGTGAGTATTCCTGATTCTTGATTTGGGGGTTGGATTTTGAAATGTTTTGGGTCTAAGACAATCCTAGAACATTCTCGACACGTTGCCGACAACCGCGGCCACAAAAATTTGATGAGTGATCACCACATGACCCCTAAAAAGCGACCAAACGTATGAGGATTTGCGAAAAAGGTTTGAGCTCAAAATACAGTAGACATTTAGGCATAGATAGACCGCAACGATTATGTCGTAAATAGAATCAATATGATAGTAGTGTATAGTAGTTTAGAATCCTCAGACTTTAGCACCAAGAATAAATTTGACTGTGGAACCGAGCCAGGGATCAATAAAATATACTACTGAGTAGTTTTTGCCTATGTTTTTTTAATAAGAATTAGGGTTTCTAGTGTACCTTGTGGACTAGATTTTTGAACTTGGCACTTTTCGGGCCTGGCCAAGAATTAGTGGAATCTTAAGATTGCCGGCCACGATCAATCGGGATCAAGACTGACAGGAGATTAAGGTCAAGGATATTGTAATAGTCATGTAATGTAGATATATATGAAGGACAGCCAAGTACGGACTCTTACATCGATCTTCTTTTTCTCTGGAGAATGTACTCAAATCCTGAATTCCCTGCGAGACTACAGGCTTCAGACCAGATTTCACAGTTAGAACCCTTTCTGATTTATTGAAATTACCAGAGTTAGTTCACTCCCGAAAGCTAATTAAGCTGCTTAATATATTCCCGAGAGTTGAATTGATACTTAGTCGACTCCCGAAAAATGATAAGTTTCCCAACCGACTCCCGAGAATTGATTAAGTTTCTTAGCCGCAACAATCTAAAAACAGCTGCGTCCCAATGTGAGTCACAACCTATGTAGAAAGGCATCATATGATCAGCATGAGATTAAGTTGCAGAGAAGTCGAAATAAAATAGCATCGAAGTGTAAAATCGTTCTGCAGAAGGGTTCTCAATTACTGACGGTAGGAGGTTTTACCCTGGCCAGTCCAAGCGGCTGAACACTAGCACGAACACCTGAGGTATAAAGCGGAAGGTGAGATCAAAAACAAACGATATACATTTGCACTTTATTTAAAGTCTATTACATTACACTCTAACATTCCCGCGAAGGGCCCGTCGTGATGCCTGTCATTGCACAGAGAATCACATACGCTTCAGAAAAAGTCAACGTAAATTGAAATAAATAATATTCTCCCCATGTCTTAAAAACTCACAATTTTCAAATCGAATCGACCACGATAATTTTTTTTTCAGTGGCGGAAAATCAGAGGTTCATTGCCCCGAGTTGTCAAAAATTGTTGAATTTGAAACTCCTTTTTAATCTAATTAGTCGCAACTTCGAATTTCGTAGTTGTTGCTACATTTTATCAGTGCTCATGAACTAATATTCTATTGCATCGGATCCCGTTGTTGCAGCTACAGTTTATCAGTGCCCATGAAAAAGTATTCTATTGCATTGGGTCCCGTTGCTCTTGCCACAGTTGATCAGTGCCCATGAACTACTATTGTATTGCATTCGACCCCGTTGCTGTTCTCACAGTATACCAGTACCCATGAACTACGATTCTATTGCATTGGATCCCGTTGTTGTTGCCACAGTTTATTAGTGAAGATGAACTACTATTCGAACTACTATTCTATTGCATTGGATTTTGTACTCTCGTCATCATATCTGGCCAGTTTTTGATACTTGTGTTGCGGCTTTCACACGCGCATTGCTAAACATCCCACGGTATACACATATGCATCTCGTGCTATCCTACACTCATATTTACGGCATATTTCGATTTTCCGAGTATTACTGGACAAAAACATAGATTGCAGATTGGGTTCACTAGGCTGGATAAGAAATACATTGCTTCACGGCCGGTGGAAATTGCATATAAATCTCACACGCACGAGCCGAGCCATCATTGAGCATTCTTACTGTCCGGCTATCGGTTAATGTGCGAGCGCTCCACATTGTGGGGTCAGGGGCAAACATACATAAAGGGAGATATAACATATGAATTCTGACAGCCACGTCAAATGCGAATCAATAATCAACTACTGGGTAGACAACCGTTTGCGCTTCATATTTCGATCACTTTGAGCAATTTCTGTCAACTTCAGAAGATGAATATCGTGATTTAGAAAATAGAATTATCAATGTCACATTTGGTATGTCACATTTGTGTATGCAGATGTATACTTTCCATAGAGCATATCTGGATATTTATCGTCTTGATGTTTCTCGAAGGATAGCTCCCAATATCAAATCTACATGTCACTTCTAATTTACTACTGGGGGTTTTCACCTATCAGTCAACAACATCTGGTATCGCTCTCACTGGAGTTGATTGGCCAACCACTGCTTGCTAGTAACCTCTATCAAGTATCTCAGTTTGATCTGAGTTGTGTCATAAACCACGAACTCATTCCTCTCGGGGTTTGCCTGGCGGATTGTTCGCTTGAGCTCTTTCCCTGGTTCACTAGAGCGGTGCCCAGTCAGAGCATTACGCATATTCGTTGCCCCATCCGAATCTGCGCTTTCGCTGTTGCTGCTGCTACTTATGCCGCTGTCACCGTCCTTATCAATACCGCCAGTTGTTTTGTCTGGTTGTCTACTACCTTTCTCTCCGTCCACTGACGCCTTCTTTTTCTTGGGTTGTTTGTTCTCCTTATACCCACACATGGTCGCCGTTGTCGTATCATAGCCTTCATCAAGCACCACCGTGTACTTCTGGTCACGGTGTGTGACCACAACCGTGCAGGGGAATGTTGTCTGTGGATCTAACCTAGCGCGTTCGACCATCGTATTGGCTATTGGATCAAGTGGTACGCGAGTGGCCCTCCACCCTGTCCCTCTGTAGAGGTATAGGGTCGTGGTGATATGGGTTAGTATAGAGGCTGGTTCAGTCGATATAGGCGACATACAAGTCGTAATGAGATTCTGTACACATGTTTGTCCGTAGGTCAGTGTAGCAATGGTGAATAGTACTGTAAAATACCCATTTGCGATAGTCTTGTGCGTAGAGTGTGTACATAGCATGATTGAGTAGAGCAAATAAAACGTAAACGGATATACTCGGGGCACTTTATCAATACTATATAAACTAGCTGACTACTGCTATATACCCTAAAAGCGATAAAAGTATGACATAGGTTGCCCTCGTGAACAGTGGACTATATAATATAGTCTCACGTAATATTTTATGAATGCGTTTTCGACGAAATACGATAAAACTTAGAGTGTAAAAACACCGACCGATAGTACTGCCGATATACAAGGAGAATACTAACGAAATATCAACGCACACATGGCTCGTACGATATAATCTCAAGCTTAATGGAAGGTAAACCTAGTTCAATGGCCTTCACACAAACGCACGCACACACACACACACATTTGGTAAACGTTTAAAACAGAGAACCAAACCACGGTTCGATACGCATATCTCTTGAAGGGGGGAGGGGTTGTATACGTACTTCATAGTCCAGATGCAAGCCTCCGTGTCTGGCACGGCGGTGCTTTTGAGTTTGCCCAGCGGAACCTTAGCACCCACTCCATCCAGATGCAAATAGCGAGACACATCTGGGCTGCGCTTTCCGACAGCTAGGGTCGTGTGGGTGCCCTCAATAGGCTTCTCCATGTATGTGGCTTCATATGCGTAGTACGGGGTGCCTAAGTATGAAATAATGAGTGATATGCGTTAAAGCAGGCATCAGCAAGGACAAGTAGACCGGATGTAGCCTTTTACCCCAGACGTGTGAACCACAAGAGAAAGTTCCGATGGATGCACGTGGCACCACGCGACCAAACTATAAAGCACTACAAATCACCTTCAGGACATACCAAACTGTATTGGCTACAGTTCAAATCAAAATTTACACCGAAGCTAAAAATCAAAATATACATCGAAGTTATATAT